AGAGTTAACGCGTACTATCTAATAAAGTGTTAAATTTAGAAACGAAACAGAAGTGAAAGAAAGAGTTCAGTGAAGAACAGTTAAATGCCCCTATTAACTTCTAGGCGAGAGCGAAGAGAAAAGTGAATAATTCTACTAGAGAAGTGTGAAGTATTAATTAGTAGCTTAATATTAGAACCTCTAAACATATATAATCTGACATCTAACGTAAGACCTTATTTACTCATGCTTCTCTGTTTGTCCCTCCCCCTCTCCCGCCCCAAATCTTAAGTGTCGGTGTGAGACTTCGAAAGCTAATAACAAAGTTATATGTTTGTCTAATATTCTCCCTCGATTTTAACTTGCTAAGTATTGTGACACGTGTTACGAATAGTCCTAGCGTGCTGGCGGCATACAAAGCGGCTAACCTGTTCCAACCCTAAGTTATTAAGGCTACTTCCGCGGGCGATCTTTCCTTGGAAATGAACGATCCTTTCGGACAATGTGAGCTAGACACCTCCGTAGCGCGTTGATTGTTGATGTGACTACGGGCAGCGACCTACGATTCGATCTCGCTCGCTTCGGTCTGTTCCACCCTAGTACTGTATCGATGCCAATAGAGAGCAGCCAACCACCTACCAATACCAGCTTTAGTATCCGTACATCCGAGACTATTGATCTAGCCCTAGCGACGTAATTCGCGAACCAGAGACACCGATCCTTAGCCGGAAATCCGTTCAACCTAGCCTATTCAGTGTGTTTAACCTATTTAGCGTATATGAGAACTATGAAGTGTTCCTGGTGCTAGCTAATATTAGCGACTATACCAGCCGTGTGAGAAGCCTCCGATTGTGGAAATAGCCCCATTTTGAGGTGATGAGCCTTCTGACATAATAGGAAAATAAAATGCCATTGGGACAAAGTTATTAATGCCCGTTTAATATTGCTTGGGCATTGGGATTTACGGGTTTCCTTACTCATTTAAGATGGATAGTAATTCTCCTTGTATAAGCGTATTCTGCGGCTAACATAGCTCTGTTCACCCTAATTCTTTAGTTCATACTGGTTAACGTGCAAATGTACGGGGGTTTAGGGGTTACGTGGAGTTAATTTGGACGGCACGCGTATAATCCATTAGTACATAGTCCATCTAACTAGCTGGGTTAAACGAGGTAACGACGCTGTTTAGGTATAAGATCTAAGCAGGGCTGTTCTGTATCGATAGTTCATAATTCGATATCGCTACCATTAGTTTGCCATCTATAGCTATTAATAGAGGCAATTAAGGCTTAGGAACATCCTGCAAGCTTAATATAGTAGCTATTATGAGTCCTTAGACCTTCAGATTCTTTTCTTTACGTCGCCTGTTCCTTTTAATTCTTCCTCCATGCCCATTATTCTAGAGAACTAATGTCATTCCGTATTTAAGGCTAAATTATTCTCTTCACTTTGCATCCTTATGTGGCGCTTTCTCTCCGTCTTATGGCTCTAACAAGATCAGAAATGAATTATCTCTCGGTATCCATAATGTGACTCCCTCGTTATGAGGCATGGTTAAATTATGTTCCCCCTGCGCTGACACAGGCAATCTAATACGTCCTAGCAGTTCGCTTAAGGTTGTAATCGCCAAGGGCGCCATGTCAGATTGTGAAGAAGTCGCAGAACGATATCAAAAGACATTAACCGCTCGTTCTACGCGAAACACGTCTTCGTTTAATATGGTCTCCCGTCGCAATTAAGACACAGCTAGCATGACCGCTGCGTAGTACAATCCGAAGCATTATGGCCAGGACAAGACAGCAATACTTAAGTCAATATTATGTATGTAAGTAAAGGTGTCAGAAACTACTCGCGCTAACTAGAGTAAATTATTAACTATGTTCTTCACTTTATTATAGTGAGAAGAACGAAACTTTCTTTCTTTGGTGGCTTTTCCATTTCCAATGGTCGGGGCAACTAGGAACTATTAAACCTAAGCATAGCGAATAATAATCTTAAATAGTTAAACCTTAATCTGATGATTAGTAATGATAACCCATAAGGATATTATTATGTGAGTCCCCTGCTGCAGCAGAGAGAGTTAAGCTTAATGTTCATGAAGCCGTAGTAAGTAATCCTCTAGAGTCCGCGCATATGCGTTATGAGTAGGTGTTTACTTCGAGTTAACAAATTCCATAGCCTTTAGTACTAACGACGAAAAGTCCTGAATATTTTGGCGGAACGACTTCTCCTCGTCTGGTAAACTCTTAAGTGACGGCTACGGTATCTCTTTTTAGATAGTAGTGCGTGGTGACCGGCCCAGCATCAAGCTAACTCAAGTGTTAAGGTCTTTAAGAAGTCACCACATGTGCCGTGGAAACTTAACTAATTTATTAGCGGTGCGGTTTCGATTCACTAGACATCATCAGTAATAAACACTACGAGAGGAATAACGATGGCCTAACACCTAATTAGTTCAGCTACGCAAATTAAGCTAGATAGTCCTGTCCATGCCTGTATAACTCTGCCCTCCTCGAAAAGTCGTATTACAGCCATGAACTTTACATGTATATGGCGAAGAGGTTTTGAAGGCTGCCTTTCCAGGTCTATAGAGAGACGCAAGCGTGGTCCTAGTGCGTTATTTAACTACTCGAAATGGATATGTTCCGTTAGAGATATGTTATGATTATGCCCTGGACACGCGTTGAAATTTTGAATGACATTAACGAAGGTGATAACATTGGTTAAATGCGCCCCAGTAGATTTCAGGGATTTAAACTACCAATCGCGAGTAAGTCTCCATAAGTTGCGTAGGTAAAAGGGCTTACCGCGTTAATAGCCCATGGCAGCGACAAATCGCCATAGAACGAAAGTGGTGGCTCCAAAGACTTGTGATTATCGCCGACCTCATCTCGTCGAGCCTGGTCAAACGTGTCTTGTACAGAACAGCTGTCATGCGGTTGGTTTAGTTCGAACGAGGGCGTCAAAGCACTCTATCACGTTAACCATTAGGTCCAATCACCGAGGAATATAAATAACTCACTCCATCATTATCGCTATTTCCAGATAATTTGGCGTCGTAATGACAAATAGGTCAGCTTCGCTTCCGCTGACATGTCGAATAGGGAATGCCACCAGAGCACTTACTATCCTATTAGTTTCATCACTGATTTAAGGGTCATGAGTTAATAGATAACCTTTGACTTACTTAGGTGACAGGGGATGTAGGAGGTTCTAACTCGCTAGTTAGCTTTTGGCATTTCTAGGTTGAATGGATAAGATAATAATGTGTCAAATAAGATGTATCAGATTTACAGATGGGGTTATTAGGCCCTCTAGATATATGTTAATAATAGGAGTTTATATATAGAGGTAGGCGAAGGTTATACCTAATCAGATCTTTAGACTTTCCTGGGTGACGAAATGCTACAGTACAAGATACTAATTAACTAGAAGCTATTGAAAGCTACCTGCAAGCGATGATCCTAGGTCGAGGGGCTCGGGAAGTCTTGAAGTGCAAGGGTTTTTCGCGCCAATGTTCCCCTTAGCCCCGCGATTGCTCGAGTCGAACTGCACGGGTCTTTTCTGCCTGGTGACTATCAAACTAGGTCATTAATTCTCAAGTCCTCAAGGGCTAACCTAGCCACCCATAGAGTATATAGCTAGGGCATACCCCAGACCCCATAAAGGTAGAACAGAGATTCTTTCCTCCTTCTCTTTGCCCCCTGTTCTGTCAGGGACGTGGGTTCTCGACCTCGTTATGAGTGTCTCTTGATTCGTTCGATCTTGAAGACTGTTCAGAACGAAAGACTGTGACTAGCACGATCGGCGATAATTAACGGCTCAGGGAAACTGTACTGTACTTAGTCATTCAGTCAAGAGATTACTGTGCCTCTCCAACCAAGGACGAGAAACTTGTTAACGGGGAACTTCCTCCCGGCACGTCCGGGCCGTGGAGATCAACCACGGCAAACGGGAAAAGCTTCAACATGGCAAATTTTTCCAATTTTCGCTTGATCGGCGGCTTTAAGTGGACATCCAATGATCCTTCGTACCGCCCCCAATTCGAGTTGAAGTTGCTAAGCGGACCGGTTCCGCCTGCCGGAAACCCCAGCACCAATAAGGTGGACTTTCACACCACAATACCCACCATTAGATTCGACGCGCGGTAAGCTTTAGTAAGGTCTACAAAAAGATCGTTTGAGGCGGGCCGAACCAAACCAAACAAATCAATCTGCTGCCCAGAACAGGTCTGCCATCTCCACCTTCAAATGTTGCTTATTGGATTTTCTTTCTGTGTTTCCATGCAATGCTTCCTTAGTGGAACAATTATAGTGTCCGTGGTCTCAAACAGTACTCTAAAAAGGAATATCCTGATTACTTCATCCCTGAATTCCCTGTTACAGTCCAGATGCGAAAGTAAGACATGTTCGTTAGCGTTGTATTTACGTAGATACTGCAGGTGCACCCCATAAGATTGCCGTGATCAGCTTAGCCACTAACTTGGCGAGAGCGCTAGGCGCTCGCTTCAGGGAGGTTCACGAATGCCTAGCGGATTGAAGATCACGATATTGTAGGACGATCTGAGTTAAATCCATTCCAGGAGCTGGTTGTTACGATCGGTTAGCCTGTCTCTTTCCCATTTGCCTGCTGCGATGGGGATTACCCGCTCTGAGCAGGTTGCTAGATTTGCATGTGTTGATGGCATCGAGGCTAATGGTCCACGCGACATATTGTAACTCTTCCCTGGAAACTGGCAGGTGAAGTGATAGTCAGTTGTCAAGCTGTTTACTGGGAGGGGGGGGGGAATAGTCTCCCGTAAAGCACTAGGTCGAAAGGAATGACGGAGGAAAAGAATGGGGACAGATTCTGGTGTCGCTGCTCCGGAGGATTTAACGCGAAAGGACATATGATTTGCACACGCGCATGCGGATGACTTACGGTGTTCAGGGGAACAGATTCCTTTACAAGCCTTCTTCCACTTGGTAACAGATTTACGTGCTTCCTGAGAGCATGCTCGCATGGTTGCGTAGCTGTTTCTATCATTGGGGCGTACTGTGGGCGTCGGTAGCAATCACTGGTCGGGTAAACGTTCCGCTCAGCACCACATGCACAGAGTTCTGTATGCGAGCGATCCTATGCTTCATAGGTTGCATCGCGTTCCAAAGGTTCGGGCTAACATCGCAAGCTTGTTGTATCGACTCCAAGGTCTCGAGATCATTTTCCCCCAATACTCTCTTACGTAATTCCACGACCGTTTGCATGAGTGAAAACGCTTCAGTGTATCGTTTGTCCTCGCTGTATTCAATTGCTAGCTCGTACATCGACTCAATCGTCTCCGAATCATCTTCTCCAAGCTTTCGTCTTCGGATTTTCACCACCTCATCCATTTGTCGTAGCGCCTCTTCACATCGCCCTCTCCCACTGTAGAGCATCGCAAGTTCGTGCATGGACTCCAGCGTCTCGCGATGGTCGTGTCCAAGGATCCACTCGCGTTGTCTGACCACATGCTCCATAAGACGCAGTGCCTCCTCACATCGCCCAGCATCGTTGTAATCAACCGCCAGCTCATGCATCGACATCAAAGTAACAGGATGGTTGTGTCCGAGTTTCATTTGGTGCGCTTTCAACAACTTCTCCATCAGCTGAACGGCTTCTGTATGTCGACCAATATCGTTGTACTCAATCGCCAATTCGTGCATCGATCTCAATGTATTGGGACAGCCGAGGGCGAGTTTCCTTTCAGTCATCTTCCCGATGCTCCCCGAGGATGAGACGGGGTAAATGCTGAACCTTGCGTCTGGGAAAGTAATCACGGCTGAAGCCGTATATATTGTAAGATATTGCAGAGGATTGTGGCCGGATAACGGTCCTAAAGTGTATGCGCAAACCGTGGACATGACCGCCAGTCCCTATCCGGTCCTTGTTCTATCTATCTGTGCTGCTATCGCTGGGCCACCCAGCGTCTGGCCGTCGACTGCAATAGTCGATTGTTTGGGATGCGCTGCATGAAGTGCCGTTCCTTGATACCCCCCGGGTCAGTGACCGCTTTCGACAGCCGAGACACCATCAGCAACCGGACCCGTGGCCACAGCGTCCTTTGCATCGATGGCGTGCCGCGATGTCGGCGGGCTGTGTAAGTGGCAGTAGGTGAAGTGTGAAAGATCTGTTTTGAGCTATGGGTGGTGTTGGTACGGAGTATCAATAGTGTGACTCGATATGGTGATTTTATCAAATTATGGTTTCCTCTGCCTAGTACTGTATGATTTTCTGTGTGGTAGACCATCTCTTGCCCTTCAACTCCGCCTCTTCGCCGTGTACTATTCACTCAGCGATACCGTAAAATGCCGTCGGGTAGGAAGACGGTGTGCTTGAAGTCGATCTTCCGTCCCCGGGCATTCGTGAAAGAGGCACTACTCGGGACTAAGGGATGCATCATCCCCCGAGCTAGGCCATAAGCCACCCCCAATGACGCAGCTGGGTGACCTGCGTTATTATCAAGCCCCATCCATCCCTACTGCCACCCTTTTCTGAGCCAATCTCTTGCAACGCTTACTTTCGTGTTCGAACATCGTTCAATCCGCGGGTCGAGGTGACATGGAAAAGGACACATGGGCAAGTGGTATCTGGACGCTGTCTCTGCTGCCCTTACGGCATACGACATTCCTCGGTGTGTACTCTAAGGCTCAGAGGCTGTTCTCTCTGGACCTCGGTGCGGCCTGTCACAAGTTTCGCAACGAGAAGTAAAGAAATCCAACGCTCTCCATTTCAGGAACCTCCCAGTCAAACACGACAGGAAAGGCCTTGAATCACACACCCAGGACATATTCACCTCGTGATGTGAACACCTCCGAAACTTTTGGGTCAGTGAGAAGATGGATTTCCGCTTTGTCGCCTGTGCGGCGCAAGTATCCTGTTGCTACCGGCAACGCTTTATCCTCATAGCGTGGGAAGTGTGATCAAGATGACGGGATCGGCCTATGGACCACAGAGCAACATAACGATGAGACGCGCGTTTTACAGACGAACAAGCTCGGATGAAAGGCGCACTCGACGACCGTTTACCGTCCTACCATCGCGTTCCCTCTCCGGCTGGACCACCCCTCACAACACCTCAATGTGATGCGATTAACCTCAGCAACAACCCTCCGACTTGACTACCGAGAGAGGCTCCTCAACACAGGGTTAAAAGACTACTGTGGCTCGACCAATCGCGCTGGATGGGAAGGTCCTCTAACAGTGCTTAGGAATCAGGAGACGAAAGATGCAGTCATGTTGGGCCCGTCTCTACCGCAAAAGGGACGAAAGAAGAGATGGGCATAATGCTATGCAGATCTTAATACGCGCATTGTTGGCACTGTCTCCAAAGCGGGAGATAACACGTGGCATTCAAACTCCAGATCAGCAAAGCAGAGTTATCTCATAAAACCGGATATCAGGGTGTAGGTTATGCAAGCAAAGCCAGTCCCTCCATAAGCTCGGCGGGAATAAGGGAGGGAGATCGAACGATGATCAACCTTATTAACAGCCATTCGGCCACAACCCTACGTATGACTATGGAGTGCTGTCTGCTGCCAGACAATGCTCGGCACATACTAATGTTGAAAGGAGAACAAACATGTGCTTCTACACCACAGTGAACTAGCGCTACTATGATTGAGAATGGACCAACTTGAAGACCCGTTGCCCTCGTCAGCACCGACTGGGATATTCTTATCGCGCAAAAATTCTCGGTTACCAATTATTTGAGCCGGACTGGTCGAATCTGTCCTTGTGTGAGGTAGTCACCTTTAACCCGAGCAGGGTACGAGAACCCATGCGAATAGCTCGGTGGAGCGATAATGTGCTATGCTTTCTGCCAGCCGAGAGCGATCACGGAAGGTGTTCTTGGTCTTCTTCTAGAAGTGAAGACTCTCGGCGAAAGAGAGGATATCAGCAGTATTACGCCCCCGCAGTCCACCGCCGCAGTCAACTGACGAAAAGGATCTTGAGTAGGAAAAAGACCACATAAACTCCTGTTTGGCGCTCCATCCCTCAAAAACATACGTTGCGAAAAAGACGATCGGTGGGATCTGGACTAAAGAGTCTGCCGAGTGTCAAACATATTGAATACAGACCTCAAGGGGACAAATTGAGCGTCCCTTATTAGAAGCAGTGTCACTGAAATCCTAGTCATAGTGGCTATACAAAGCCAGACTTTCCACGAAGGTGGTTGGTCATAACTCGGCACCGTCGTGGCCACAATACCAGCGCAAGTCAATGCGGCAGACAAAAGCGTGTATTCAACCTGTTCTTTCGGAGGCAAGCGGCTTGATCAATTGAGGTCGACTGAATAGTCCTATCCGAACACTTCCCGCTTCTGGGTAAGAGAGAGTGAAATAAAGAATAGGTCGTTAAGGCAAAGCTCTTTAAGTTCATGTGCCATGACTGAAGCCAACAAAGCCTTCGGGATGCTTGCAAGTGAGATCAGATGATGCATTTCTGCACAAAGTTGCCATCCGAGTGGTGGGAATTATCAAATACTGGTAGGCTCTTGCCCATCATCTGTATCGATAATGTCCTTATTTAGTACCCGAGCTCGTGCAAGAATGATTTGTCCCATGTAGAAGTGACCATCCGTACAATCTAGTCTAGTTTCGTTTTGTTGGTTCTGCACTTTAGACGAATTCGACAACAGTCACTTTCGATGGCTGCCATGACGAGCAGGAATATGACAGGTCGAGAGTTGATCGTTGCCAGTTTTGCCTAAAGAAGGTCTCGCTGCAGAGCCAGAACATGAAGCCGGCCACTCACTCTTTCAAGGCGGTTAACGTAAGTTGCCAGATTGTCAATGAGAGTGTCCAGCTCTATCTGATCACGGGGGACCCAGCACACTTTATTCCACGATTTCAACAAGGGTTCTTGCGGACGGTCCTTTGTGGCGAGCTGAAATGCACGCTTTATGTCGGGAAGGCTCGAGTAGATCCCCTCGGGCGCATCGATACAGTCTGGCCCCAATTCATAACGACCAACCGCAGGCGATGAGGTGTGTCCAAAGAGGCAAAGCTTATGGAGTGCGCCCTTGATCCCAATGAGTGACTGTGCGACCTCTTTCTCTTCTTGCGCCCACCCATTCCTTAGGTAGCAGCACTCCTGTCCAGCGGCCTGGAGGCCAAGCGTCTCTCCCCAGAATCTTAGTCTTGCCTCTAGCAATATCAGTTTTGCCAAAGATACCTCATAGCTATGACTCGGATTTCGGTCCCAATCAACCCGTTCTAGGCAGTCGACACAGTTCGAGAAGAGGTCTGCGATCGCAGAGGTGCGGATGTGTAGGTCGGCGCCAACCGTTTCTGCAGTTTGGGCCAAATGGGATAATTTATCGATTTCGGAAACAACTGCCTCACGATCCATATTGTCGCGGTGTCACGACGTGGTTGCGAGTCTATGTCCAAGCATTCCCAGGAAACATGGACGGCTCCGGACAACAAGCCAAGTGCAATGTTGAGGTTGCGGATCTGGCTTGCCAGTGACCGTGACCACAAATGTGGCTGCTAAGCACGTGCCTCTGCGACTTTCGACCTTGACATAACACATTTGAGGTGAGACAGGAGTTTGCATCAATTCGTCTTAGTGAGGATTATCCAAAACATTCATTCCTCCGATGAAGAGCAAAGCGGGGTAACGATCATCCTGCCCGCGAGCGAACGGCCGGAACAGCGGACCGGAACGCTTGTCCAAGTACTCCGTAGATCGTTCCAAAACTCTCGCAACTCACAGCCAACGGCAAAAGGTACCTGCACCATATGTAAGTTTTTGTCTCCTGTCTACTCGCAACGAAGAAGGTTGAGACCAGTTAGGTATCTAGGTAGCTTCATATATCAAGCAATTGACGCTTCAGGCCCGAGGTCATCACCAGTAACCACGTTCGCACTCTTCACCCAACATCATGTGCTACTACGCCCGCATCGATTTTGCCTGCGTGGATTGGAAATGGGGCAACATGAAGCAACGTTGTCCTCGACAACACCGTATCGGAGAAACTTGCGGTGCTCGCCTTGCAGATCCCGACAATATCGACAGAGACGGAGAGCAATGCCGAGTGTGCAAAGAAATCGAAGTCAAACAAAGACGCAAGCAGAAGGAGCTAGACAACATTGCGAGGTGGAGGCGCGAGGGAAACAATTTCACAGCCAGCATCGAAAAGGCTGAGCGGGAAGCCCTCCAGCTTCAGGAAACCATTGACGAATTGCAAAACCGACGCGCCTCGATCAAAAGCCAGCTCATAGGCGACGCGCGTCTTCCCACTCTGTCCAGATAGATCTGTGTGCATGATGTCTTCGAAAAGGGGTTGGTCATTCTCTCAAGGTAACACTGCCGAGACTTTTTTAATACCAGCGAGAGCATATGGCACGGTTCCAGGAGATTGAGCTGGAATGTAGCTGGTTTGATGCTACCGAAGACTTGATTCGCTTTTGAACCTGATAAGTGCGACTGCAAGTAACACGAAATTGTTATAAAACGCTCAGATGTTCTACTCACTGTCGCTGCTCAGTGAGATAACATCCGTCTTGTCATCATCATCCTCCTGGGTGTTCTAGGTCTCATTACTGGATCCAAGGTAGATATCCCGAACATCACCTTCTTCGAATCTTCGCTTGCACCAAGGGCAGCCTTTGCCTTGTCCAAGCCATAATTCCAAGCATTCTCTGCAGCCACTATGACCGCACGGAACCACAGCATTCTTAAAAGCCACCATGTAGATATTGCATCGTAAGTGATCGACCTTTTCTAATTCCTTATGCGCAGCTTCTAAATCATTGCCCAGTTCTTGATTCTGGATACGTAGTACCCTGTTCTCGTTTCTACACTGCCGCAATTTATGAGTTTACTGTCGGAGCTTATTCTAAGTACCTTCAGCGATGCTTTGAAGGTCTGGCCGCTATCGTCCCTACTGAGCGATATAACAATCCAGTTCAGCCTATTTAGCCAGCAATATTGTCTTTAATTGCCGTGCCTACATTAATAGTGAGGAGAACTTTCTCTTCATGTTAAAAGCACTATCTATAACCGAATCATGTTTGACCTGAATTTCGCAATCAGCGTCGTTAAGAAAATGCTTAATTAGGAATAGGCTGTATTTTGCGCTTATTAGAGAATGGCGGTGCGATTATGAAGTTAGACATATAGAGAGGGACGAAGATAAGAGTAGGGGCAGAGTGCCTTCTTATACCCCTTTAGTTTGGTAGGTTCTTAGCTACTACATAAGCCCGGTTAGGCTCCTTCACGATTCACTTCCTAGGATTATTAACTTCTAAGCGTGTCGTCCTGGGCGAATCAGCAGACTAGCAGCCCTAATGACGCATGCTGCTAGTGCTGCACGAAGGATGCCATCACGTATCGACGTAATTTTAACTAAGAGGCTATATGCCCGCTAGTATCTAGAGTCCATTGTATCTAATTAATGTGCGCGTTCGATCCGTAATGCGAAGAACACGGGTCACTTTAAGACATCGGAAGGACGATACAGGGCTGCCTAATGATGCCCTTATAGCTAAACCACGCAAATTAACTTTAGAGGGCCAGGGTAACGCGATAGCTAGCTGGGTCCTGAGCATTAGATATTTCTACGCGCCGATCGCAGATACGTAGCACACTTTGTCTTACTTCTTAAATCCTCGTCGTCGTCCCGTTAGTTAGGTGAACTAGGCTTAGTCAAGGTGATCTTAGCTTTAACTCTCGGTCGATACTTTTCATTTTAACCAGATTAGAAGTAGGCTATAGTAGAAGGAATTCAACCATCATAGGCGGTAGGAACCATTAGTGCCATGTTAAATAGTAAAAGATATAATGACTAGAAAGACTTGAGACATATCACTACTTCAGAAGAAGCTCTATAATCTATTCACTTTAGTGCCTAAGCTGTCCGCTCTACTCTTTAAGCTATTCATTTTGCTGTTTAATCTAATCACTCTACTATTTAAGTAATTGCACTAGCTCTTTTCGTTATTACTTAGAGTCTTTTCGTTACTGTTCTAGCTAAGCCGCTAATATGGTCTCTTAATCCTTCGTATTCTTTCGTTATTATTTAGAGTCTTTTCGTTACTGTTTTAGCTACTGTTATAGGTTCTAAATCATGGTTCGAAACTCGGCATTTAAGCCCTACCCTCGCTATGGTTTACGAAACCTCTTATCCTGGGATTTGGGCGCACTACTGTTATCCTGCGAGCTTTATACGCTAAGATCGTTAATGTTAGCCAGTTTAAGTGTCCTTATAAGCGGATTAGGTAGCTCATTAATCATGGTAATAAGTCGCTTAAGTAGAGCCGGAGCAAAGATTTAGTAAACGTTAAGGGTAAACTAGTAACTAATCTATCTATATTCGCCTAATTTATCTCTAACGTTAAGTTTTTTGATTGTCTCGCGATAGTATAACGTGTTCTTACCTTACACCTTAGGATAATGAGCATAGATATACACGCTTCAGTTGTCATGTGAAATGGAATATCCTAATGCCCTCCTATGTACCTCTAAGGCACAGTTAGCCTTACGAAAGACGTCCATAATTCCCCTTAGGGTAATGGTCATACTATAAGCATTTAGTAAATCTGCTAAGTTAAGCCCCTACTTCTCATACTTTACCTCACTAGTTAGGAAGGGAAAATAGATGTCCTCGCGCGTCATATAGTATAACTTTTCCAAAGGTTTAATGCGGAGCTTTAGGCGCTAAATTTCGGTAAAGTTAGACCATTTAAATCTGTATATATAGTCCGGCTATAGTTAGAGACCATAGAATGAAATTCCTTTAATCTAGAGGTCATTATAACCTTTAATCAGACCGCGAAATTCTTCTTAATCACTAATGGATAGGTTCTTAACTAATAAAACGAGAAGGGGATATAGATTAAGGTAGACTTAAGCTTTGGATCGGCCTCGAATTAGGGTCTAAAATTTGTCGAACCAGTCATTAAATAACGAATGATTAGGACGCGGTTAGGGCGTGTAGAGAAGCTTCTCGCATAATGTCTTATCTTCTTTCACGAGACTAGTATTAGAGGGCCGCATAAAACTGCCTTTTATCTCTAAGATTACTAGGTAGTTCACATCTTTATACGCTAAGTATTTCTTATCTACTAAAACTATGGATTCTATACTGTCACTAGATTGCGAAGGTTAGCGGCTTAACAAATCTAAGGACTGAGATCTTTTCAAGGGTGATAAACTTATGTTGTCTTAGATATCGCATTCCTCGCTAGGTAGGATACTTAATAATCACTTCTTTATAAATGCATCGCTATCTAATGGTTCTAGAGGTAAGCGGGCTCTCTTTGCGGATAGGCGCTTAATGTATTTATTTAGTAACCTTGTATTTCGTTCTAGTACGGAGAAGTTAGTAGGAGACGATTTATAATATATCTACCTCGCCTTATTAGCATTTTTTCTCCTATAGAGACATTCATTACATTCACTCATGTTATCAGTTTTTATGGCAGATAGAGATAGAAGCTAACTATGTAGCTTTAAGAGAGAGATCTTAAGAGGGATTTTAGGAGTGAGGTCTTCTACTAGGGAAGCTAGAGAGACTTATTAAAGGTCTATTAAGCGGTGAATCTTATGAGGATATTCACTATTATCGCTCTGCACTGCATATTATTTATTTAGAAAATGTTAATAATCCATTAATCCTGTGTTCCCCGTTATTTAAGACTCTTACTATGTAGATTAGCCTATTCATAACTCTACACGTTCGTGGCCTCTATATTAAATAAAACCATATATTATAGAGAAAAGTAAGCGCTCTCACATTAATTAGCACAGTGTTATATTAGTCTCTTTAAGAGTTAAAGTCTTTGCGTTAGTTAGTATAGAAAAAAGTGCAGGCTAAGGCGAGTTACACCGTTATCTAATTAAGTGGGCTAGACTAGGTATTATATATGACTTACTAAGGGCACTTAGTTATCTAGGCTAAGGACAGGCTGCGCTGTTAATTATAGATCACTTTAATCCTGTCTTACTCTCACTAGTTCGCATGCGTTATCGCGACACAATTTTCGAACTATATCTAACTAACTTCAATTGAATAGGCAGTTCGCTTTTGAGAGCTATCCTTAAAAGGGCTAAAGACTAGCTAATAATATATGTACGTACTATTCTTTACGCTATTAATCTTTGGCAATTATCTTAATAAGTTCTTAATGAGTTCTATTGCCCTCCCCTTATCTCTCACTTTTACTAGTTAAATAATAAATTATGCTTTCTAAAGTGTGTAGAGAAGTTAAGAGACTAATGAATGTTTTATCTATTAAGGCCTACACTATTTAAATCTATCTATTAACTTCGCAGATTAGAGTATTAGTATAAACTAAAACATCTTTATCTATTGAACGCACTAGATCTAGTTAATACCACTAACAAGTGACCAGCAAATCTTATTATCACTAATTTTGACCTCTCTTCTCTTTAATAGCTTTTACCCGCGATAGTTACCTCCCTTATTAAGAACAGTAAATCGCGACCCTAATAAACTTATCTCTAGGCGCCTTAACGTTTTTGGCCCTGGAACCTTCGCTCTGCTCACATCATACCTACTTTTCCTTATCGTCGCTTATACCCTCTATATGATAACCCTGACCGCTGTATCGCGGCGTTCTTTTTCTTTTAAATCGCTCCTCCTTCTTTATCTAATGCCATTTTCACAAGACTACTTAACATTATCCGCTTATATACCTAGAGAGAGAATAAGAGATAAAGCCTGATCGCTTGGACGGTACAGTGCAGACTGGTGGGTAACAGCCACATAAGAGAATGTGCGCTTACTAATAGGATTAAGTTCATTAATAGTGATGCAAATAAAGCTTTTAAGATATGGAAAATACCATCACTATTCTATCTATACATTCCTATTTAATGTTTAGTCGCTACTAAGATTTAGAATCACTACTAAACTTAATAAGATATAACTCGGGAATAATATACTTTATAGTCTATAAATAAGGCGGTTTAAAAGCTCTAATAAATATATTGTTAATACATTAATACTGTTATAGGATATTATTACCTGTCCGAGTTAAGATTATAGGTACCTAGGCTCTTATGGATTTGAGGAGCTCCGCAGGCATTTAAGACCTGTATATACATCACGATTCAAGATCGAGTCACTAAGCTCTTATAACGGTAGGAATGGACTGCATTTGACATGGTTAATACCTATAGTCATAAATAAGGAATTATCCTTCCTACTCCTTAGATTATCCTTCCTACTCCTTAGATCGTCTTATCCGTTCCAGAGTTGATCTGCTTTACAAGAGAACGCCGTAGCACTACTGTCGTAGCTGGTCCATTATCGGCATACTGACTATCTGCCGGCAATATCAGACGAATGTTTAGGACGGATTTGTCATTCCACCGTGTCAGCTACTACGCCTAACTCAGACAGATTCACCCTACATTTCTGAAATCCGGCCGGCCAATGTACTAGCTTTTGGCTTACTGTAAGAGGGTATTATGTTTCGCTTGTGTCACCGCAGTACTATACTAGGTAGGTATGGCAAACGCCCATGGTGAGTGAAGGCGAGGTCGAGAGAGGGAGTGGGTTGGTAGGAGACAATGCTGACGCCTGAGAGGGGTGTGACCGTCCTGTTCGTACGGTACAGTCTTGTGCAGCACATGTCAGGACGAGGGGAACGAAAAGTGGTCAGTGCGAGAACCCAGGGCTCCACTCCACCCATTATTTCATCCTGCCTGTCCCCTTCCCTCAGTCTACTCTTCCTTTCTCCCTCCTCTCACACTTGCCTGTTCTTCCCTCTTTTCCACTTGTGTTCGTCCACAGTACACGACTCTAGCGACGTGACCAGGCATGGCCAAGTTACTCTACCAAATCCCGAAAAATACAGCTAGACGAGATGAGTGATAACTACGCAAAATCTTCTAACCTACTCCGTGTGAGGAGCAGAAATCACCCTGCGACGGTCATGTATGAGTCTCCTTCGGGGAGACGCCTCTTTGAGTTAAACCTTGCCCTCCAGGTGAGCCCGACACCAAGAGGATTGACTTTGCAGAGATGATTAGTCAGCCTTTCCTCAGTCCGTGCCCTAACAGAACAAGGACACCAGGCTCAGCACCACTGCCGCTCAAGAAGAGATAGCCGGCTAGTATTTGGCATCAAGATCCGGAAAGGGCATAATCTAGACATTTTAGCTCTTGGCCGATCGATGATCAGTGCGAGAGCATGTGGGCTCCACTGCATGTCCCATTTTCATCCAGTCTCTCCAATCAGACCCGTCTTCCCTCCCTCTTTCTTCTCTTTCTTCACTCCTCCCTCTTCTCTTTCTTCACTCCTCCCTCTACTCTTTCTTCACTCCTCCCTCTACTCTTTCTTCACTCCTCCCTCT